GAATGCCCAATTCAGATGCTATTTCAACGCCTTTTAATTTTTGTTAAATTGACAATATAAACTATATTTTGTGTCAATAAAGCTTTTCAGTGATTAACGCCTGTAACACTTTTTATTGCATTGAAAATCGCTAATTCTAAAATATAATTTAAACATGCTAGTTTGTTGGATATAGTATTGGATATCCTTTTTAAAAACCAATTAAAATAGGGAAGGATTAATTTTCGATTAAAGATGTATAATTACATTATTACTACCATTTTGTTTAAAAATAGAATTTAAAAATTTTAATTTTTCGCAATATTTTCAAATTATTTATTTCTCTTTGCAATTTAAATAAAATCAAAAAGGAAATTTACACTTTATAAGCGATTAAATGAAAAAATCTCTATATTTTTTTATCGGTATAAATAAGATAGAAATGGCGATCGCGAACCTCAATTGTAAAAAAAAATCGATTTTATACCGAGTTCCATTTTTTTTTGGAAAGATATGGATTCGATATTTTTTTTAAATATAATAAGTAAGCCATTGGACTTAATTACAATATATAACTATAAAAGTAAAATTAAAAATTAAAAATTAATACAAATAAAAGTCATTATTGATTGTCCTTAGCAACATATTTTAGATTTTAAAAATAACAACTTGAACTATATAATAATCGTTTTCTTTTAAATTTTCATTTTAATAATCCTAAATAATGACAAATTAAAAAAATAGGACTATAAAGACATGCAAATAAAAATAAAGTTTATTCTAATATAATGTTAATAAAATAATGAAAGATTATTTATTATTCTCTTCCCAGTAGAATAAATTTTTAATAGGACCTTAAAATCCCCTTGCTTAATTTCCCGGATGACTTCCAAGTCATATAATGAATTTATGAAAATGATATATTGCATTTAATTATTATCATTATAAAAAAACCATCAAAATAATGGTATAAAATAAAGAGGGCGGTTGCTGTAAAAATCTAATTTATAAAAGAGTAAGTAAGTTAATCCTTATTGCGTATGTGGGAAAAATTTGAACTTTTTAATTTTCATATTAAAAAATAATAATTAATAGATTTTTATATTGCCCCTGGATTTGAATATTTACAAAGAATTTGAATTTACTTTGCCAACATTGTTTTAAATTTTTTTGAAAAAAAAGCATTACATTGCTATAAAATAAAAGGAATAATAAATTTATACTCTGCACATCATATCTAAAACATAAATTGGATCTATAGATAAAACTTACACTTACAATTGATTATCCCGCCTTGTTCTTTTCATGTATAATACTAGATTCATAAAAGAATAAATTATAAACCTATTTTAGGTGATATTTCTTTAATCGATGTTTATTTTATAGATAATATTGGATATCAGGGCAATGTATATCTATAATGTCTGAAAAATATTGTCTCTAATTTATAGAATATTAGGCCCTATTCTCATACTGGAATAATTTGATAAAGTGAGATTTTCGAAATTATCAATGAATGATTTTGTCGATTGATTTCAATTTTAAGAGCCTGTTGTTTAAAAATCTGATTTTGCATGAGATGTATGCCAGTATGTGTACTAGAGATCTGCAAAGTTAGGCCCGGGCAGGACTCGGGCCTAATTCAATTTAATAATCGGGTTCGGGCCGGGCCGGGCCTAATATTTTTAAAAAAATTTTGGGTCTGGCCGGGCCTAATAATTTTAAAAAAATTTTGGGCCTGGCCTAATAATTTTAAAAAAATATCGGGCCGGGCTTAATATTTTTACAAAAATTTCGGGCCGGGCCTAATATTTTTAAAAAAATTTCGGGCCGGGTCAGGTCAAACCTTGGAAATTTTATTAAATATATCTAAATTTAACAATTTTATATTGAATTTTTTATGTAAAATAAAAATTTTTTATTTAATTTATTGAAACTAAACTCTATATAACATATGTCTTTTATTCTAAGTAATTATAAAAATTAATTTCTATATTTAAATAAATTCGGGCCTGGCCGGGCTGGCAAATTATTAATAATAAATTTCGGGCCGGGCCGGCAAAACTTTTTAATAAAATTTCGGGTTCGGGCCGGGTCGGCAAAACTTTTTAAAAGAATTTCGAGCCGGGCCGGGCTTGAAAAATTAGGCCCGATGCAGATCACTAATGTATACATCACCTCTTCTAAAAATTTCAGATAATTTTTCAAGCACTACACTACTTATTCTGATTTCCAACATTTGCTAACAGTTTTTTTAGAAGTATTTATTATTCTAATCTAATTTATTTATATCCTTTCATTCAAGTGGAATAAATATATATTTAATTTACATATTTAGCCATTTGCAAAATATAAATTGTATAATTTTTTCGCTTTCTGAATTTGAAATTTATCAATTCAAATAATTTCTAGCCTAGTAAAAAATCTAAAGGTTAATTTTTTTTCCCTTTTTCTAAATTAATTTTCCAAATTTTTTTTTTATTTTTTGGAGGGAATAAAATGAAAATCAACGAAGAGGAAATGTAGAGAAATTTTTCTTTTAAAACAAAATTTTTTATTGGGAAAAAATTGTTAACATGATTTACCATTCATTATCCAAAAAATTGAAAATGAAATTCTAAACTTGAAAGGAAAAATATCGTGCCTTTTAAAAATAAATAATTTTAAATGTGAAAAACTTCCATCTTTTATAAGTTATTATTTCTGGCTCGCATCCGATTTTTAAAAACCGCTATCCTAATATTTTAGCCAGAGAAATATTGCCTTAAACACTAGATTTCGCTTTTTAAAAACGTCTATCTTAATATTTTAGCCAGAGAAATATTGCCTTAACCATTATATTTCGCTATTAGATGTCCAAACCTTTAAGCCATCTATAAGCAAAATCTTGAGACTGTGAAATATTTTTCTGGATAAAATATTAAGTTAGCTGTTTTTAAAAGGTTTAAATATAGCCGTTTAACAAACAACATCACTAATATTAGTGTTGTTAAATGGTTCGATTTTACCTATTTTAAATCTATGAGAAAAATTTTCAGGCTTGGGTAATTTTGTTGGTCTAAAATATTGTGCTAGCCCTTATAAAAAAAATTGAGCTGTTTATCATTATGTATTTTTTTTAAAAAATTATTTTTGTACACTTGTCTCATGATTTTTATTTTAGTATACAGGTGTAATTTATTGGTATATATTTAAAAATTCTATAAAGTTAAAAATAAAAGCATTTTTTAATATCAAATAAATCATAATATACTTATCGATTAAATTGTTAATTTTTTTTAGTCTTTTTTTTCGAATAGTATTATAAAGTAATAAATATTGAAATATTTAAAATAAGTTTTAAATTTTACAAAGCATATATTAATTTTAGAGACTAAATTAGTATTTTGAAAAAATAAGCCAAAATTGACTCAAAATTGAAATTTTAACTATAAAACATTTTAAATGGGTAGTTTACAAGCGGTTTATACCCTTGGATAAAAACATTATTTAAAATTTTAGCAGGATTCAAGTTGCAATTGAGTTTAAACGATTCAGATTGAAGTTCAGGTGGAATTGGTTTTTAAATATTAACCTAAAAAAATTACAAAGGGGGGAAATGGTAAGGCTGGGAATATTTTGAAAATAAAAGAGGTTTAAAAGTCGATTTAATTGAACAAATTCAACATCAATTCTTAAATTATAAAATTTAATTTAAATCATTGCACGAACTTTAATTTTTTGAGTTAGAAGTTCCCTGTCAGTAAATATCTGGTATGCCTTTACTCACCATATATCTTGTGTTAACTGGTTTTATAGTATTTTATTTTAAGATTATAACTCGAAAATATTAAAATATAAATTTCTTGATTTAAATCTTCAATTGCACATTAATTTAAATATTTTACACAGTCATTCGTTCGATTCTGCTTCTTATTTCTTTTAAATCGAAATTGCCACCAATTGCCATATAATATTTGCCTATATATTATTTTTAAATGCCTTTATATGTATACTAAATCAGAGCATTCTATCCCCTCATAAGTTAATACAAGATGATGTATTCACCCCCCCCCCCTAAAAAAATACGCCAAATTTTATCGTAAAAGGCATTCAGCAATCATTTAAATTTTATATAAGTATATTATCACTATCAATATTTCTGTAGTGGCTTGGAACTCACCGACCAGGAATTTAGTTTTACCTTGGCTATATGTTTAAACATTACCCATTAACACATCATTTAATAAATTGTAATTTTTTTATCACAATTATACACTAATTTTTATAATTATTGTAAAAACATTAGATGCCCGCCATTTCTGGTCAAATAAGATTTCTAAAATAGCCCCTAAGTAAATTATATAGAATTGAGATACTCCAAATTCCCATGGATTCCATATCCCAATTATTTTATTAATTGATTATATTTAATTAAAATATAAGTTCAATTTATTTTTATTATTCGTCTGAAATAAACTATTTATTTTAAATTCAAATTTTGATTTTGATTTTTTTAAAAAAAAAAATTTTAAGAAGAATTTTTTAAATGGTTCACTATCCCTTTTATTAATTAAAAAATATATTAATTTGATCAAATTTTTGAATTGAATTAATTTTTTATTTAATGTCAAATATTTGGTTTTATTTATATAATTTTCCATTACACTTATCTAAATCTTTTCCAAAACTTGGTTAATTATTATTTAGCAATAATTAATTAGCATGCATATAAATTTGTCTTAGGATTTAAATTTCTGTATTTTATTAAAAAAAAATTTTTAACGAATATAAATATTTTTGAAAATTATTTGAAAAAAATATATTAAAAAATATATTATTTTGAACTTATTAATGTTTTGTTAAATAATTAATAAATATCATATATAAATTTTCTTCCTAATTTTTAAAATTTATTTTTCTACAAAAATTTAATGATCATATATTGCTAAATTATAAATTACTTAATAGTCCTATTTAATTATGTATTAATTATAATTATTGCGTATCTTTTAGAAGAGATTAATATTTCATAAAACCTTATGGGATAAAGCAACAATTTTGGATCTAAAGTAATAAAATTAAATACATATCTTATTTAACAATCAACAAATAATTTAATATATTTTTTATAAGAAAATCCTTAAAAAAATTTTTATTTTATGATTATAAAAAGTAAAAATACTATTTTTGAGCTAACTGAAACTTTTACCATATATTGAATGTTCAGTATATTTAAATATAAGACTTTAACATTAACATCTATATTTATTTCATTATGTTAGAAGGCTAGTTTTACCGTTTAAACCTTACTCTATAATGTTATAGAATTTAAACATTAAACTATTTTAATAATATAAATAGATAAACCAAATGTACTATAATTATAACTGATAATAAATTTTAGGTTAGTAAAGAGACTGTTAACTTCCTTTACATATTTTGTTTATGTTTAAATAAAAATTTAAATTCATCAAATTTTAAAAATTATATTACAATAAAATTTTTCTTAACCTGGGTCGGTAGCTTAATTTAACTAAACAATATGTTATTTTTTTATGAGTATTTTTTTTGAAGTGTAATTGTAATATTATTAATCTTTGATAATTTTTTGTCAATCTATAAATTTTTAAACCTTCTGATTTAATATAAGGAATATTTTGAGGTAAAAAGTATATCCATATGATATTTAATGCTAAGAAGAAAAATCACCATTTATTTGGCATAGTATAAAGAATTTTTAAAAGATAAAATTTTTAAATTTTTAGGGAATGCGTCCAAAGTCAAAATTTGGCTTTTAAAAAATTAATTTATTATTGAAATTTAATAAATAGAGTTGGGCAAATAAAGTATAAATGTGAGAATCACTTTTTTTATTTTGAAATTTTTTGGTTATTTATATCAGTGTATCCAAAATTCATTTTTAGATATTATTCTTACATTCAATTGATTTTGATGCATAAATATATGTTGAATAACCCTAACCCATATAAAGGACATCCGAAATGGGGAAATGAATTAAGAAATATAAATAAATAAGGGATATTGGCATTGCTTGAATTATATTATTTTACATTTCAACTAATTAAATCACAAATCAATATAGATATTTGTGAATCAACCAAGAATATTTAAAGACTATTTATAAAGAGTTTCATACACTAATTAATAGTAGGGGAGACTGGGGTTAGGTAAACCCCGGGGCTTGGCAAACCACTTAATCTCATTTTAAAATTAAATACACCAGAAGGTTAAAATTTTATCCTATTATAGTTTTCATTAGTATACATCTATGGACAAATTATATTTTGAAATAATTAATTACTAAAAATTTTATTTAAGAAATAAAATTTTGATGAAATTTTCAAAAGATTTTTACATAGCGGAATTTTAATTTTTATTAAAATATATAATCATTTGAATGTAAATTAAATTTTATTACAAAGTTTAAACATTCTTCTATAATTTGGGTAAGTTTTATGAGTATTTATCAAATCTAGATATTATTTCAATCATGATTTGTTAATTTAGAGCTAGCGGGGTTTGCCAAACCATACACGTCAATTATGGCAGTTAGTAATGAAAAAAATTTCAAAATCTTGAAAAGGCAATTTCATGGCTGTTTATGATTGGTATTTAGGATTTATGCTAAGAAATCTTAATCTCTCCTTAAAATTCATATTTTTTTATGTCAAAAATGTTTATTAAATTAGCCAAAATTAAGTATCAATTTTTATATATAATTAGCTTCAATTTATAAGTATTATGATATTTTGAACAATAAAACAATAAAATTATTCTATACATATCATTATTAATAAATAAAAATGCATTTCAATTTATTATGGCCTAAAAAACCTAATGGTTTAGGAAGCCCCTTGAAGTGGTTTGTCTCACCCCGCTATTGGGGCTTGTTGAACAAAATTTTCACTTTTACAAAAAATAAAATTTTAAAAATATATTTTTAAGATTTTTTATAAGGCACCTTTATAGAGTATAGTTTTAGGTATCCAATCATATATAATTTTTTATATTATCTATAAAACAACAATAGCTATAGCCAATTTTGTAAAAATTGGTTCGACTAACCCCAGTCTCCCCTACTGAACATCTATGCTTTCATACTTCCTAATTAACCTTAAATTTGTAACAAAATATAGAACCAATTGAGGACTAAAATATTTATTCCATAAATATCCATACACCGAGTTGATGATATTTGATATTTAGTTTAAAGTAGCCAACCTTCCTCAAAATTTTTTAATATTATTATTGTAAATTTAGTTATAATTTATTTTAATTTTTGTCATAGAATTAATTATATTTATTTTAATTTTATAATTTTAGCTAGTCCGCTGCCAATGACAGAGGGCTGATTTTAGTGATTATTACATAAAAAAAGGATTTTGAAATAAAATAAAATGAAAATTATTTATAAAATTTATAAAAAATTTATTCAAAAACTTTAGGCAAAAAGTTAAAACAATCACTGGAGATCCTAAAGAATATTTATATCTAAGACAAAGTGAATATGTATTTTTTAAACGCCTTGAATATTTGAAATTGTAAATTTAAGTAAATAGAATGAAATTGAAAAAAAATATTATGATTAAATAATTTTTTCTTATTTTTTAAAATAAATTTAAAGTAACAGTAAATTGCGAGTAATGTTTTGCCTTACCGTTATTCAAAAAGAAACGCGTTACACCTTACCCTTTAAAACTAGTAAAGAACAGTCATTCCTTTTTCTCAAAAAAGTTAGCTCCGTTAGTAACGGTGTTACTTTTATTGAATATTACTTTACAGCACTAGTAATATGTAAATAAAAAAGATTACAAAATTTATATTATATGTTAATATTTTATTTGAATCCCGACACGAATATTATAAAAAATTTTAAAAGAAATATTATTAATGTATCTTGACCTATCTATTTGGTCTTTAGTAGTATCATTTTTGCATTATTTTTTATGACAAATAATCGACTATTCATAGTTCAATATTGTTTCGTGATTTAGTAGAATACTATAACTTTAACGGTTTATTTACAATTTTAATGCATAGAAGGTTTGTCAATAAATATACTCAAGAAATAATGTCTGTTATGATATACTATTTGAAATAAATGATGAATTTATTGCCAATATTAAATTAAACTTATATCGTAAAAACAGTTATTTAATCTACCGACAAATTGTAGTGATTTTATTTACATACAATTAAAATCTGCTATAATAACTTCAGCCCAACAAATTGGAAATTTAATAGCTCTTAATATATAACCTTATATTTATTTTTAATTTATAAATATAGATTGTTTTAAAACGAATATGTGAATTATTTGAAATTGAATAATTAATTATTTGTTTCTGCTAAATATGAATATATTATTCATACTCTATAAAAATTGTGAAGTAATGTCACATACCTAATTTCTTATCTATTGTAACCATGTTTATACTACTCAATTTAGCAAACCAAGACATCCCTGCTTGAATGCAACTTTTTTATATATTAAAATTTGTAGATATACAAGGCCGAATAAATAAATATATCATGTAAATTTTTTTAATATTTAGTAGAGATCTTATATTTCTTGAAAATTGTTTAAAATGATGTAAATTGTATTCTATATTGTCATAAATTATTTTATTTTATAATATAATATCTTTTATAAATGTATTTAACCTTAAATTATGAGAATATTTCTAACTTTATTCTATGATAATATATCATAATCTAATTTTAAAATGAAGTTTACGACCATCTAATTATGGATGTCTAATTTTACATATTAAATTTTTATAAACATATCATTAATATTCATTTAAATATTTATTCATATTAGTATAAAAGATGATTTATAAATTAAATAATAAATGTTAAACATATATTATTAGCATAGACGAAGAAGGGAGAAGTGGATGACGATGGGGGGGGGGGGGGGATAAAGGGAAATCCTCTTTTACAAATTTGACTATTTTAGTAAATATCATTTTAAGTTAATAAAAAATTTCCTCCAACCCAACCTCAACAATTCTCTCGCCCAAATATGTATACAATACACTATAAGTGTGTGAAAGAAAAATAGCAAAAGTTAGAATTAAAAATATTTGGTAGAGCAGGTAGTAAATCTTGATGCAGGTCAGGACACATCTGGCTAGATTTTGTAAAATCTCTCATAAAAGTTCTGACGAAAACCCAATATCTCGACATAGCTGACTAACTTAACCGTCTGATATTTACAATTTATTTTCAGCAAATTATGTTTTTGATATGCTCATATAAATACTTTATAACAAAATATTTTTTCATTAATAAGGGATATTAACGGAATCACTAAAGATCTAATATCACATTAGGTAATAAAGGTTTTATAAGTGTAAAAAACTATATTTTATCCCGATGTGCCTTACTCTGGGCTCCATGCACTCACTCTCCAGATGATTTTAAGAAAAAACTAATGAATAATTTTGTAAATGAACACATTCTTGAATGCGTTACGAAGTTTTTCTTTTAAATAAGTACGTCCTTTTATTTTTGACGAACTTTGACATGAATGCTTTCCTTTCTTTTGACGAACATATTCTGATTATTATTATTTTATAGATTAGCCTAAGCATGATGTAGTTATTTCATCATCATCATCATCATCTGATTCAGAATTTATTTCCATGGCTAAAATAAAATATTCTTTACAGTTGACATCATAAATTAACTAATTTATTTTTAAGTTTTAATCAAGGGTTTTATATTTTAGTAGTTGAATACAATTTAAAGTATTATATATATTTTATAAATAATTAAATTTTATATGATTTATAAAAGTTTTTATATTAAAAATTAATAAGAAATTTTTTTTTTAATAAATAAAAATATTTCTTTATTCCTTACTAAAACATTAATTTTAAATGGCTTTTAAATTATGTTACAAAATATATAGTATATTAACATAAATATTAAATGAAATTTTAAAAAAAAATTATTCATAAAGTTTTGGAATGAACGTGAGTGCATCCCTTTTTTTGAATGTGAACTTTGAACGAGAACGAGTTCGATTTTTGTCAATGAA